CAGGGAAACACAACCAGACACTGTGACAGGTTCAACCTGTGACATAAATACTATGCAACCTATACAAATAACCTACAGACTCTTCAAGTTTTATAATATTAAATGCATTTGATCTGATTCAGCAGTGGTATAAAAGGTAAGCATTATGTACATGCTTGGCTAAAGAGATGCGTCTTTAATCTAGTTTTAAACTGGGACAGCGAGTCAGAGCCTCAAACAATTTCAGGAAGGCTATTCCAGAGTTTTGGAGCTAAATGTGAGAACACCCTCCCTCCTTTAGTGGACTTAGATATCCTAGGAATAACCAGAAGCCTTGAATTTAGTGATCTTAAAGAACGCGATGGATTGTAGGGCGATAGAAGGTCCATTAAATACACAGGAGCTAAACCATTTAGGGCTTTATAGGTCAGTAATAGTACTTTGTAATTGATACGGAACTTGATAGGTAACCAGTGTAGAGATGATAAAATTGGTGTCATATGATCATATTTTCTTGACCTAGTAAGAACTCTAGCAGCTGCTTTTTGCACTAATGCTTTTTGCACTTGTAGCTTGTTTATTGAGGATGCAGGACAACCGGCTAATAAAGCATTACAATAATCTAGTCTCGAGGTCATGAATGCATGGACTAACTTTTCTGCATCAGAGACAGATAGCATGTTACGTAGCTTTGTAATGTTTCTAAGGTGAAAAAAGGCTGTTCTTGTAACATATGAAATATGATTTTCGAAAGACAAGTTGCGGTCTAGTATAACTCCCAGGTCTTTTACTGTAGTGGATAAAGTAACAGGACATCCTTCTATAAGTTGTATTGCATATAATATATAAAGATTAAATGCATAGTCCTGAGGCAACAATTATCCTATTATTAATATTATTATTCACGTTTCAAAGTCCTGCTTATCAAATTATTAACCAAATTCCAAACATTTTTGTTAAGGTTACTTAAATGATTGACTTTAAACCAGAACTTGACAGGACAAAAGGAACTCCCCAACTACATCAAAGAGTTTGATGTTATTATGGTAGACTTTTTTGAAGCTCTTTGTTGATTGTGAGAATTAATGGCTTCTTATGTTCACAAAGGTTTATTGAAAAGCCTACAGTGTGAGAAAATATCACAGCAATACTGTAATTTTTATACTGTAATACCTAATGAGCCGCAACATATGCCGCTACCATATGCTCTGCCTGACTGTGTCTGCCACTCTGCCAGAAGAGCATCAGTTTTCATTCAGCTGGGTTCATGACCTCACTTCTTACCACCAGGGCCTGTGATTTCAAATGTGTGATGAAATTGATGTGTTCTGATTGGTTCAGTACTTTTGCCTATGTACAGTGATTTCCAGTTTCACTGAGTCCACAATATAGTTGATACTAAAGTATAAGGACAGTCATGATTTCCATTACACGAGAGTAGATGTTAAAACTTCACGCTGATTTGCACTCTGCTTTCGCCAAGATAAGCACCAAATAGACATAGCTTTACAGTAACCTATGCGTCTCCATCCAATTACGCTTCCTTCCATATGGTGATGTGAATATCTATGAAGGTAAAAGAGTAGCAATACTCGAGAGCAAGTAGATGTGAATTTGAGAACTTCGTACTTGTATGTGAACATTTACACTCACAGCTCCAATGTGAAAACCTGTAAAATAACAATCTGAAGTTGAATGTTAAAATTTCCACTCGCAGATAATAGTCATAAACCTGTATTCTGAATTTGAAGCTGCAGACAAGCAGTCACAAATGTGTAAAATGCCATTCACAGATATACAATGACAGTCACAAACGTACTATATATTTGCATTTATTTGTACATTTCACATTCGCAATACAACCTCAATTTGGCAACAATGGCAACATTTTGTCACGGGTATGTGCATTTTGCGTTAAAAATTAAAACTAACTTTGTAAATAAATGTTATAGTAGGTTCTATCGCATTGATGGGTTAATTAATGAATGAATAACTGTACAAAATACCTCGGAAGACGTGTCAAAGTCAAAGTCTTTGTTTACATAACTTTTTGTGTGCATGCTAGTGTGACTGCAATGGAAGTATAATAACATTGATTATACTTCCATGGTGTGAGCATGTTGTTGACAGTGCAATTGTTGTTGTTGTTGTTTTTAAACAAGTTAAGGTATTAAAAAAACATTGTTGTGATATACAGGTGTGAAAAGCAATGATCAGTCATCCCCTGATTATGTGCCATCTGTTAATATGGGATATGACAAGGATAAATATAATCCAGAACAACGGAATGCAAGATTGTTGAGAGCGGAAAAGCGGGAGACTGAGAGTGTCAAGACACACACACAGAAATAAGAGATCCAAAAGCAATATTTATTAAGGGGTAATCCGTACTCACAAACAGTCCAGGCCAGGGTCAAAAGTCCAATAAGTCAATCCAAAAACATAAAAAACACACGGGAAACAAGGCCATACGCACCAACCCGTTTGACTAAGGCTGTCGAAGCCCCACTGTCGTCGTTAAAGCAGGTTCAGTGGCAACCGTTCCATATGGCATACTACCTAACAACCTGACCCAGTTGGGTAACAAGTACTCTGGGTTCGGGCCGCATACCGAGCCCGGAGCCCTCTCCTCGGACAGCACGCCAAACATGCATTTATTCTATCTGACTTATTTGTAAGTGTGAACTCGTGAATGCAGGTTCAGTGGCAACGGTTCCGTATGGCATACTACCTAACAACGTGACCATACGCACCAACCCGTTTGACTAAGGCTGTCGAAGCCCCACTGTCGTCGTTAAAGCAGGTTCAGTGGCAACGGTTCCGTATGGCATACTACCTAACAACCTGACCATACGCACCAACCCGTTTGACTAAGGCTGTCGAAGCCCCACTGTCGTCGTTAATGCAGGCTCTGTTGCAACGGTTCCGTATGGCATTCTACCTACCGCAAAACACAACAATATCTGTCCAACACAAATCCTCATTCACGCAAAATACAGTACACGGGATTGTAATAACTCTGATAACTATGCAATCTATACAAATATTCCAACTGACTCCTCAAGTTTTTCAAGAATTTTTCGAAACCGTAGTGTGGCGGCCTGGACACATCCAGCCAGAATCTTTCCGTCTCAACCACAGCCATGTTGCTGCTACTCTGTGCTGCTTCAGATAAGTTCTTTACTGTGCGACGCAACTCTTGGCCAATGAATCCGACGTCTCTGAGAAACATATATATATATATATTATACCCATAATTCCGGGTCAGGTTGAGCTCACAAATGGGTTGAAATTTGATTGTGCGAGTAGGATGCGTTTCATAAGTTCTGGCAACTGGACAACCTTGGAATAATTTATTGACAAATATATTTGTTATTTTTCTTCGTCTTGTCAATTCTTTTAATATTTTACAGTCAAGACAGTAGAAAAAATGTTACAGAGAAAAGAAATAAGCAAAATATGAAGGTACGAAAATCTTTGGCTTATGGGCCTAGCTTTTGCGAAATGAAATCACTTTTTTAACAGAACTATTTATCATCCATGCAAGAAAAGAATGTCATGACGACAGTTTCAGCGTCTCTCGTCCAAAAACTGACTAAGGCTGAATGCTCTCTTTTAAGGTGCAGTCTTGACCGGGATGCAAAGGAAATAATTTGCCAGGTTGTTCAGTGCAGAATTAGAAAATATATATATATTTTACAGTCAACGCAAAATGTCACAGAAAAAATTAAATTAAAGCGCAGATACACTGTTGTCAAAGGATGACGTCTGACAGCCCGTCCGCTCCTGTCTACATCAGAGGTACCGACCACTACTGTAGGCCTCATTTGAATGCATTCCTCCCGAACTTTGTTAATAAAACATCATTTAAAAATGCGAGATTCAGGTCATTAGAGCGAACAAAAACACAAGATCTGGAGATGGTTTAAAAAAAAGTTGAACTTGTTTTAACTTGAGAACTGCATCATGCATGAGATGCTGCAAAAGACGCAAGACACGAATGCAACGGTTAAACACGTTCGTCGCAGGCGTGTCCAAACTCGGTCGTGGAGTGCCACTGTCCTGCAGAGTTTAGCTCCAACCCCAATTAAATGCACCTGAAACAGCTAACCAAGGTCTTAATTAGCTGTTTAAGGTCATTAGGCATGCTAAAAACTTACAAGCAGGTGTGTTGAGGCAAGTTGGAACTAAACTCTGCAGGACAGTGGCCCCCAGGACCGAGTTTGGACACCCCTGTGTGTGTTTACATTGAATAACAATGGAAAAGTAGTGCAGTGGAATGAAAAAAAAATGTTTTATGTGTAAATGTCCCCCTAATCTTCTATTATGTTGGTATTTATAAAGGTGTTTTTGGGTAAAGAATGTGTAAAAAAAAAAAAGCTTTTGAGGAAATACTTTTTAGGCTATATATAGTTCACAACACTCTTAAAAAGAAACCTTTCCATTGCGCAAAAGGTTCTCTATAGTGGAAAAGGGGTCTTTAGATTTTTGAAATGTTCTTCACACTAAAACAAAAATGGTTATTTTAAGAACTGTTCACTAAAAGGTTCAGATTTGTCAGTTGGGCTTAAAATGTATCTTCATACAAGTTAGTCTTTTTAAATTACTCAGTAAATTATAACAAATTCATTGTTAAAATATACTCATGTCAACATTACATTTATTGTATAAATATGTTTTTTTATAGAATTAATATTTTATTAAAAGCACAGAGCACAACGACTGTCAACGTGTATTGAATTTAACCCATGGGGTTTATTTCCTTGAGCGTCAGAGATTTTTTCCGAATCACAAAACTTATTTATAGGCACATCAGTGATCTTTAACGCCTTTCATGATTCTCAACATGCAAGATAACAACTCAACAGCAATGAGCAATTGATTGGTGTTAGGACTAATTGTGTTCAAAGAGAATGCATGCCATTTTTGGTGTCATATTTTCAAGCTAGAACATTGCTGTCAGTGCCGATCAATTACTTGTGGTCACATCAAATCACCATGATTTTTGTATATTAACATAAATGGACAACCGGACTTATGTTACAGTCTACACTCTGATGGAACCTAAAGGCTCCAAATCATACCGGCATGTATATTTCACATGCTTTTTGGTTCTCTATGCTTTGATACTGTTTGTGAACATTTGGCTCAGTGTGGTCATTATTTTGGAGAGAGCCCTTCATGAACCAATGTACATTTTTCTGTGCAATCTATGTGTAAATTATTTATATGGAGCAACAGGATTTTATCCTAAATTCCTGCATGATTTAATACTGGATTCATATGTGATTCCTTCTTTTATGTGCACACTCCAAGCTTTTGTGATCTACAGTTCAGCTATGTGTGACTGTACTACATTAACAGTGATGGCGTATGACAGACATGTGGCCATATGCCGACCTTTAGACTATCACTCAAAGATGAACAAAAATACATGTGGCATGTTGCTCCTATTCTGTTGGATTGTACCATTTATTTCTATGTTCATTGGGGTTGTGTTGTTAAACAGGTTGGCAGTGTGTAAATATCATATTGACAAATTATACTGTGACAGCTGGTCAATGGTAAAGCTCTCATGTGAATCAATGGTTATTAATAACATCATGGCACTGGTTGTTTTATTATTTTATATCTGTCTTACTACTTTAATTATTGTGTCTTATATTAAACTTATAGTAGCATGTAAAGCATCATTAGAAAACAGAAGAAAGTTTTGGCAGACATGTGTTCCACATATATTTTCACTGATAAATTGTAGTTCAACTGTGTTTTTTGATGCAATGTATAGCAGATATGGCTCAAGCAATGCCCCAGAGAACATGTATGTTGTTTTTGCCTTACTGATGGTCATTGTGCCACCTCTATTCAATCCTTTAATCTATGGCTTAAAACTCAAAGAGGTTCGTAAAAGAAGCTTTAAATTATGTCTAAATGTCATTAAATAAAGAATTAATTATACTCAGTCCTGCAAGTGAAACAATAAATATACTAAAATGTATTTAAAATACATTTATTTTATGCTAAGTATACTACAAATACATTTACATATTTATGTAGCTATTTAATGTAAATACCCTGCAATTTTGGAATACTAAATTGGTATACTTAAAGTCTGCTAAATTGGAACAACTAATTTTGTACTTAATGTACTTTAGTTATCCAGAAAAAGTGCTGAGGTCCAACTAAAGATACTTAATGTCGAGGTCCTGACTCTCTGTGGTCATTAAAAATCCCACGTCCTTCGGAAAAAGAGTAGGGGTGTAACCCCGGCATCCTGGCCAAATTTGCCCATTGGCCTCTGTCCATCATGGCCTCCTAATCATCCCCATACTGATTGGTTTCATCACTGTCTCCTCTCCACCAGTAAGCTGGTGTGTGGTGGGCGTTCTGGTGCAATATGGCTGCCGTTGCATCATCCAGGTGGATGCTGCAAATTGGCGGAAGGTTGTGGAGATTCCCCCTTCCATATGTAAAGCGCTTTGAGTACCTAGAAAAGTGCTATATAAATATAACTACTTATTATATTTGATTGTGCTAAAATTGAGCAATTGCAAATATACTTTAGGTATACTTTAAATACTTTTTTAAAGCTCTATGTTGATTGTGAGAATTAGTGGCTTCATCTGTTCACAAAGGTTTATTAAAGTGTGAGAAAATACCACAGCAATGATCTTTTTATTTATGCTGTACCTAATGAGCCGCAACATATGCCGCTACCATATGCTCTGCCTGACTGTGTCTGCCACTCTGCCAGAAGAGCATCATTTTTCATTCAGCTGGATTCATGACCTCACTTCTTACCACCAGGGCCTGTGACTTCAAATTTGTGATGAAATTGTTGTGTTCTGATAGGTTCAATACTTTTGCCTATGTACAGTGATTTCCAGTTTTGCTGAGTCCAAAATATAGTTGATACTAACGTATAAGGACAGTCATATATATATATATATATATATACAGTATATATGTAAGAGTTAAAATTAAAAATGTAAGTTCTGAAAATATGTTGCTCCTTTATTGCTCAGGAGACTTAATGGAAATCTCATCTAAGTTTCATCTACATATTGACTTGGTCAGTGGACAAATGGCCACCCGACTAAACCCGGTTTCTCTTTTTTTCTCCATTTCTGTTACTTGATGGAATTTGGGTTTCTTGCCACTGTCGCCTTTGGCTTGCTTAGTTGGGGTTTAAAAGATACTTAATATTCAGTAATATTATCAATTTGACTGCACTGACACTATTGGATGAGAACAAAAACTTGAACTGAATTAAGCTAGATAATGACACCACTGTTTTCTGAAGAGCTGCTTTATAGCTGATTCAACTTAATAACATAATTCACTTATTTTACAAAGTCTGTCATTGAACTGATTGAAACTGACTTGAGCTGAATAATGACACTTGTCTTCTGTAGAGCTGCTTTTATTTTGAATTTGTCTCATATTTGACGAAGTTTGCATGATCGTTATTTTCCTGTTTATCACTGGAAGCGGTTTTGAAACAATCTGTATTTTGTTAAGCAAGCATTACATAAATAAAGGTTACCTGACTTGATTTTTTTACTATTGACATTGTAATAAAATAATAGAACTATGAAATAAATGTGGATAACAGCTCAAAAAATGTAGTCTTAGAATTTAATGAGAAATGTTGCTTTTTTATATTTTAGTTTGATTACAGACTTTGTACCTGCAAAGCAGCAGATGTGTCCATTTACTCTCCATTTCATATACTGTTGTCCAGGTAAATTAGGAAAATCACAATTGAAAATTAAGTTTTTTTAAAGAAAACCTGCATATGGTTTTATAGAACTGTTAATGCCAGATTCTGCAGTGTTGGTTTCTGAGAGGAAACGAGAGAAGAAAATTCACTTTTTGAGAGTAGCACCTTTGTCAAATAATATTATTGGACTCGTTTCTAATATCAACCCAGGGTTCTCAAGTTTTATCAAAAGCTTGGAGTGAGATCACATGCGGTTAGGGGAGGGGCCTAAATGGAGCCCCGCCCCCGCCTAGCCCCGCCCCCAATTTTACCCATTGTTCATAATTAACCAGCAAAAATTGAAATTATAACAATTGGTAAATCTGATAAATGACAGAGCAATTCATCACATCAAATATAGGCCTACTCTTTAATGTTATATTTCAAAATTAGGCTACAAATATATAACAAATTGCTCCAAAATGTTTGGAAAAACAAATATTTTTGCATTTTTCCCTGACATCTTTGAAAAATACAAATGCAATGGCAATGATTAGGCTAATGTATGTTTGACAGGATATAGACGGTTTCATCGAACGCACGCGCGTTGCCGGGGTTACGCGCTGGCCCGAAGTTAACTTCCGGTCTGTGTTTGTTAACCGGTAATATCATAATATCATTCTCTGGTAATATGGCGCCGACTACAAACGCAGTGAAAATTAAGGTGATGAGTAGACTGAAGTTGGGCTCAGGTTGTTGTGTTGTGGGATGCAACCTGAGCAGGGATGTAGTGGAGGCTAAACGCACGTAAACGCCGTTTACGCACCTCCCAATATTCGGAAATAGCGTTTACCCACCTCCAAAGTGCGTTTATCCACCTCTAAATTGCGTTTATCCTCCTCTAAATAGCTATAAATTAAGCTTATGTCGTTTTAGTTTTATATTGTTCATTACTAGTTTCATAGGTTGTTAAACCTAAGACGAACTCTTTCATATTGCGCTGCATTACTGTCAGTGTTGTTGACTTTTACTGACGGTAAGGTTGCGCTGTTGACGCTCGCGCAGCCTCTCGAGGAGAAATCTACACAAATGAGCGCACACACACACTCAGTTAACAATATACTGCCTATAAAAAATCTACATGTGGAGTTTTTATATTTTTTACATATGTTAAGCAACCTCAATTATTTTTCCTGAACACCATCACGATTGAAAATGTGACATTGATTTCCTACAACAGTTCAATAAACAGTTAAAATTAAGTCACTTACATTTTAGATTCAATATTGGCTGTTTTTGTTCTATTTCAGCAGCGAAAATAGTTCCAAACAAAAATCACAGCAGAACCACGGCGCATCTCACAGGAACACTCGACCTGTTTTCATTACTGAATGATTCAGCATTTTGAAGGAATCGATTGAGTCAAAGATTCAATGACCCATTCGTAAACATCTGTCTCATTCTTGAATGAATCAACCGTTTGAACAAATCGTTTGAATGAATGAATCAATGACTCGCTCATTAAGACGGTCGCCTGCCGCCACCTACTGGCGGTTTCGTGTTATGTTTAAAAGTAGATCATTCTGTCCAACGTTTCTTATTTGTAAATTTAAATCAATTTCATAACATTATTTTATGCAATTGGAATTTTTCAGTGTAAATGATTTAATTTGATCAGCCCTATAGTGTCTTATTAATCGAAATAATTGAATTTATTGATCAAATTTAGGAATTTAAAATGAAAGATGAAGCATAAATTTAATAAGATTGGGGGAGGGGATGCCCTTTAAAGGTGCAGATATTATAATATGCCGATTTAAATATCAAAGGTGATTGAACACTGATGAGAATATATTGTTTCAGAATAAAAAAAATAATAATAAAAAATCCGGACGAGAAACTTTTTTACTCGGACAAGTGAATGACAGATTAAGCGTATGAAAAGGCTTAATGTCGAGCCCTCCCTATATAGCAATGTCATCAGGATACACATACACCGGTAGGCAGTGGCCCACCTTACCGGGTGACCACGTCGTGGTCCACCAGAATTTATAGTTTACCCACCTCTTTTTTTACCACTACACCTCTGAACCTGAGGCTCTGGGACAAATACCTTATCAAAAAAAAAAAATGTCGGTTTCCTAAAAACGAAGGGAGACGGCGAGCGTGGATCACCGCTGTGCGATGAGAGGCTTGGCAGCCAGGCAAGAATTCAAGGATCTGTAGCACTCACTTCGTTACAGGTAACAAACTCATGATAAGCAACAGATAATTATGGAAGCTTGTTTCCGCCACTGAAGAAATAATAATAATAATTGCGACTTTTTATCTCACAATTGCGAGATAAGAAGTCAGAATTGTGAGAAATAAAGTTGCAATTCTGAGAAATAAAGTCGCAATTGCGAGGAAAAAAAGACAGAATTAACTTTTTATCTCACAATTCTGACTTTTTTCTCACAAAAAGTCTATGATGAACTCTGTTGTTATTGACTCTACCGGAAGTTAAGTTTGGGCCACAAAAGCGCGCATGCGCAGTAACGTTTGTTTATGTTGTTGCCGTTGAAACCGTCTATACAATATTACCAAGAGCACTCTGCTTTAGCCTTAATGTAACTAGAAATACTATTAATACAGTATAATATAGAATTTAAAATAAACTGAAGAAATACATCTTCATTCCTTCCCATACCCAATAACATTTCCTTAGCCAAACTGAGCCAAAGCTTTTGGCCTGGTTGCAAAGCAGTTGTGTGAAAGAGTTGGGTTGCAAAGAGTTTTTGAATGCATCAATAATGTATACGATGGGCTATATATTAAATGTTCTAGTCTAAAAATGTTAGGCGAGCTTTCTTCCAACTTACTTTCTCCATCACGACGTGTGTTCGCGCGATGTCGCGGTGGCCGAACTTCCGTGTGTGTTCGCGGACTTCGCGCGTCTATAAGTTGCCTACACTCTAAAAACTGCTGGGTTGAAAACAACCCAATTTGGGTTATTTTATAACCCAGCTGCTGGGTCAAAAAGGGTCTCACCCAGCGCTGGGTTATTTTAACCCAACCAGTTGGGTTATTGATTTAACCCAACATGTTGGGTTATGTTTTCTACCCAAAGTTGGGTAGAAATTACTAAATTGTTGGGTTGAACTGACTAAACAATGGGTTGAAGAATACAACCCAAATTATGGGTCATGGGTATCATTTGGATTAAAAATTACTTTTTTCAATTAACCTTTGCATTATGAAAGC